ACAAAATAGTAACTTATAGTTGAGGGATCATTTTGTAACTTTTAATAGTTGAGGGACCCAATAAACTTGTGTCATATAGTCGGAGGATTATTTGTGCATTTTACCAAAATTTAATTGAATGTGTCAGTTTAATTAAGTAAATTTATCATCACAAATATGTATTACATAATTTTTTTTAATTAAACTTGTGAAATTATAATAAAATTTAACTCATTTTTTAATTAAAATTTAAGTTAATATCAAATAATCTCCGCTTGACATAAATTTTATTAAAAATTTGATCTTTGAATTTACAACAAGTTTAATTTTTACTTAATTCCAATATCCGTTAAAACTCCGTCATCAAGTCTTCACTCTTCAATAATTTCAATTCTTATATAATATATATTGAATATTGTTAGATCGATTGAGAATTATTCTTCTGCAACAGAAAACTCATTGCAACAAAATTTATATTGTATGCCTCCAATATCACTAACAAAATTCACAACAACAAATTTCTTTAAAACTCCGCAGCTCGAACCATAACTTTGACACTACTTACTAAGAATTTGTAAGCCAAAAATAATTATAGTAATATTAACATGAAATAGACTACAAAACCAATCCCTGCAATGTAAAGTTCAAGAGTTACAGACACCACAAAAGGATTATATCTCTACAGAAGAATTCTTTCATAATTTTAAAGACTAAGATTTATTCTATATTTATATGAGAAAATTTGATCCAAAAATTTTAAACGACTATCATATCTCAATTATCATGTTAACATCCAACTTAAACAACCATAAATTTTTTAACGGAAAATGATGAGTCTATAATATAATGAATAGACGGGTGATCATTTTGTATCTTTTAATACAAAATGAATAGTGGAGTGACTCAACAAAGCAACACTCCATAGTCAAATGACCATTTTATAACGTTTAATACTCGAGAGACTTAATAAAACATAATTCTATAATCGAGAGACCATTTGATTTCTTTACCCTAAATTTTAATACGAATAAAATATTACAACTACCGATGATGGAACGAATGGACTAAACGATTTCACTTGACAAATCGAGAATAAATCAAACTCACGTCAAGCTATTGCCATCCCTACTCTTTAATGCCAAAGTGATAAGAGTATAGTGATTACCTAACATGCTTTGTCTGAATTTAACTCGTCATTTCCCTCTCCATCACATTCCCAACCTTTCCACTCCACTACACAAAGTCAAACAATAAAACAAGTGTGTTTTTTCAGCTAAATAATCGGAGAATTCTCATGTTCGGCAATTTAATATACATTCGAATAGTTATATTTGTAGGGTGTACATTGTCAATTGATTCAAAAAATGATCTGAATACATACCACTCTTATAATCATCCCAAACTATGACAAAAATATTAAAAATTAATGAATTGACATATATCGCATGTCTCTATGTACTTTTCAAAATGACCCATTCATAAATACTCATAGATTTAATTTATAAACATATTTAATTCATAATGGTTAATTATGTTATAATATTAATTTATTAAATTGGAGATCAAAGAAAAGCAAGTATGACTTTTACTAAATCTTGAATAGATTTTGTCCAAATTGTAATGTTCTGAGATAACTGGAAGATGTCTATTTCAAGCAACCAAAATAACTCAGAATTTTCAATGCATGAAGACGACGATTGATATTTGTTTTCAATTCTTCCAACGACCTCTTTGCACTTTAATCTCTATTTGACCTTGGGGCTGGGATAAGATGGAGGTATTGGGAAAATGGTAAAGCTTGAGGTCTCTATCTATTACAACTTTTTTTTGCCCAAAAAGTACTTGTACACGTGTGAGGTGATGTCTCACATTACATCTATTAAAAAATAATAAAATATACCGCGTCGTTATTTTTTAAGGTAAAATGATAGTTTTTGCTTCCGTAGTAGATTCGATTTATCATTTTCGTCCTATCGTATTTTCATATTAATTTAGCCATTAAAATTGCTCAATTGTATTATTCTATATCATATCCTATCCCTAACTTAAAACTATAATTCTTAAACCATGTTCCCATAACATCTAAACCCTAAACCTTAGTTTAAGGTTTTAAGTCAGGGGGGTAAGGCATAGAATGATACATTTAAATAAATTTGAGGGCTAAATCGATACGAAAATGCGATAGGGTGAAAACGATAAATTAAGTCTACTACAAGGACAAAGGTGACCCTTAAGTCATATTTTAATAACGAGTGACTAAAATAAGATTAAAATATAACTTTAGATATAATTTAAAAAATAATTTGGTAACCAAAACAAAAACCGGTTACAAAAAAAATATGTAGTTTATCATTTAAGTTTATATAAAATTAAATATTAAAACTTTTTAAAATATAAATATAAATATTTAATATTTTTAAAATCAAAGAATTTAACCACTCTTAATACTCTGTTAATTATGTCTATATCAATGAAAAAGAAAAGAAAAGGTGTAGAGATGTGAAGATATTCCATAGATCTCAAAGAGGAAAAAGCTAATTTGATGGATTTGGCTATATATGAATATATGATGAATCTACATCCCAAAAGAGCAATAATTATTTAGAAGCGTGCATGAATAACATATATAATGATTAAACAAAAAGAAGAATATCATATATAATCCGGTCCGTTTCTGAGATTTTAGTGGTTCGGGGCAAATATAAAAATTAGGCCTATAATAATAAGTATTGAAAAAAATTAAATTGTAAGAGCAAGAAAAAATAAATAAATTTGTTTGTAAATTATTTTTAGTACGTTTAATAAACTATCTAATAAATACATAGTTATCTCATACATTTTCGGGACCCTGAGCGAAACTAAAAGATAGACCCTCATAAAATGAAAGTATATTCTAATACTTTGAATAATTAATTTAATATTATGTTAATAAATTGTTTAAAAATGATTAAATTAGGGGCTTAAACTATAAAAGTAAAAAGTATGATTGAAAAAATTAGGGACCCCAATTATAAAGATAAAAAGTGATATTAAAAAAATAGGGTCATTAATTTTATAGGTAAAAAGTGAGATTAAAATAAATATGGGCCTAAATTATGAGTAAAAAATGAGATTAAAAAAATTAGGGGTCTCAATTATAAAGGTAAAAAGTGAGATTAAAAAAGTATAAGTTTAATTAGATGAGTGGCTAAACAAATATTTTATTATTTTTTAATTATATATGAATTTCATAATTTTAGACTCCGGACAAGAAGAGCCTGTGCAAGTATCCCTCTTACCGATGCTCAAATACGGGCGTGTAGATAAAAAACCTAGAGCTAAGTTAGGCCTAGCTGACCACATAACAAATGCCACTTCGAGGAAAGCTACGTAACAAATGCCAACCTGACCACATATGGGTAGAAAGGGTATTTAGAGTGGTTGTCTATTAAAATTTTAAATTATTATATATTTTAAAATTTATTGTATTTTTAATCATAATATATTTTTATTTCTTAATTTTTTTTTATAAATTCATCTTCTTTTAAAATCTTAAAATTTAATCTCTTGATATGAAATTATACGACTGTCCCTGAATTTAATTTTTTATTTGTCTTGCCATCATCGCCCCTTATAGTTAGCCCAATGTGGGCTTTGGAACCGGCACTTACATAATGATGATTAATATCACACACATAAATGTTAACATACTCATTTTAGTACATAGACGTTGCATTTTTTATGGGTAAATTGCATCGTTCATTGCTCAATTATCTTCTCACTCCTATTTTGATATTAAAGTTTAAAATTTTCAATTTAACTACTCAACTTTCAAATTTCTTCTATTTTAATCACTAATTTATTTTATTAATATTTTTATGATATGACTTTTTTATTATTATTTTATTAATATATAATCAAAAATAAAAATAAATTTGAAAGTTAGAGTGAATAAATTACTCCTAATTTGAAAGTTAAGTAATTAAATAAAAAAAATTAAACTTTAATGACAAAAATAGGAGTGAGAAGATAGTTGAGTGATGAATGATACAATTTATCCATAAAAAGGGTGCAACCCGTAAATCAATGTTATATTTTTAACGACGATGTACTAAAACGAAACAAAAACTAAAAGTTATGTACAATTTTGAAAAAAAAATGTAAATTTAGATACTAAAACAAACAAAAACTGATAATTTAGATATTACACGTATATTAATCTGATTATTATATACACTTCAAATTCTTTGAACGAGCTAAATGTCGTTACGCCCGACCAACGTTCCATGATAAAACAATAAAAGAAATGTAAGAAATGGGAAAATAATTAAAAAAAACGAAACAGGACTCATATTAAATAATAGCTATTGTAATTCCTTCTTTTCTTTCTTGCATGAAACGATGCTATAATATCTGCTCACAGTTACAAATACACACACACATATATATATATATATATATATATATATATATATATTTGGTAAAAAGAGTGCAGAAAAACAAACAGATAAATACAACTATGGGTTTATTTAGAAAATTAATAATAAAAATAAAACATGGGAAGGATAAATATAATTTATAAAAAAAATATAAGAACATGGTTAAAAAAGAGATATATAATAAGTTCTGGATAAGTGTTAAAATTAAACATGTATTAATTTTCGTCCTAATTATATGATTAAAAAATATGAATGTTCTCGTAAAATCAATACTCAAAACAATGGGAAAATGATAAACTCTACGTTGCGTTTAAATATAATCTTCAAACTTTCATATTAAGTGATTAAAATTAAGATTTATACGTGCGATGTTGTCTCTTATCCACGTGTTCGTGTTAATAAGTGTACATGACACGTAACATAACTTCGATGTCTATTAAATTTCAGTTCAAAAATTCGAAGTTGAAATGAGAAATGAGAAATGAAAAATTCAGAGCTGTGAAATTTTCTCGTCTCCATAAATAGTGATCGAATTTCCCAGCTTCTCTACATTGCTCAAACAGTTTATAACATCGTATGTTGCCCTTGGTTTTGCATTCAAAAATGGGAAGGTCTCGTAGCCGCATCGATGCCAATGGCTTGAAACGAGGCCCCTGGACACCCGAAGAAGACGAAAAGCTAATGGCTTACATCAAAAAACATGGCCATGGAAGCTGGCAACTTTACCGGAGAAAGCTGGTCAATTTTCTCATCCAAAAAGCTTTCAGAATTTGTAAATTCCTTACGCCGTTCTTAGTTCTAATTAAGTTTTCGTTCGATTTTGATTCGAATTAGGTCTTCAAAGATACGGGAAAAGTTGCAGACTGGGATGATTAAATATCTCAGACCTGGAATCAAGAGAGGAAGGTTCAGTTTACAAGGACAAAAGACAATCATTCAACTCATGCTCTCCTGGGCAATAGGTATATATGTATGTATTTATGTTACATGTATATATTTCCGGGTTCGGGTTTTTTCGTCGATGCTAACCGGATCGAGAATCGATCTTGACTTTCTTGTTGGCAACTTTTTTTCAGATGGTCTGCAATTGCTTCTTATCTACGGAGAAGAACAGATAACGAAATCAAGAAGAAAAAAGTTAGCCATGCAAGGGATCGATCCTTCGACTCATAGGCCAGTGGCCGCACCAAGTGGTTCAGTCAACAATGACTCGAAAAAGGTGTAGAACCTAACTCACATGGCTCAATGGGAGAGTGCTCGACCTTAACTCTCTCGATCGATCTTAACTCTTTGAATGTTCCTGAATTTGCTTATGTTCGATATCTACACAAATGTAGATTTGATACGAATATCAGAATTCTAAACATTATGAATCGATCATCAATAACCTAAGCTAAAAGTACTTAATTCATACTTTCACTTTGAAAGGTATCAGTACCCAAGGTATGGTTCCGATACTCCCTTACTGTGATATCGATACAAGGTTGTAGTATCGATACCCTTTTCCGGTTCTGGAATTACATTTCTAAAATGGTATTGATACTTGCATAACGGTATCGATACTCTTAGTATGGATACTATCCCTTCAGCATCGATACTCTTTGAATAATTTATAAACTTTTTGGCTTATGGTATCGATACTGTTCATCTAATATCGATACCCATACCTAAATATCGTCCATTTTCTCTTTGAAGTATCGGTACTAGATGAACAATACCGATACCCCTTGTCCAAACTTCACTCCTTTAACCCGAAAATTTACCAATACCTACCTAAACCTTTCATTTTGAACTCCTTCTCAACATCTAACTTAACTATACTTATCCATAACTACTTATAATACTTTAATACATTTTGACATCCAAAAACTCTCATAGAACACTTATAACCAAAAATCATATCAATTATTCAACATATTCTAAATCCATTTCTAACACTTTATATTTCTCAATCCAGCATATGACAAGTCAAATTTCATTTCAAAACTCATTTATTAATTCCTTTCCACAATTTCACTTAAAAACCTCTTATATTAAATCCTTCATAACTTCCTCATCTTTTGGTTTTAAGAAATCTTAAGCTTTCTTTAAGCTTAAGTATTACCTAAAGAAGATAAATCAAGCTTAATTTCAATAATTAATCAATTGATATGAAACTCACCTTTTCAAATGGGGTTCACAGCTTAAGGAGGAAGAAAGATGAAGAGTTATCTGAAAATCTTTTTCTCTTTCTCTCTTTTGCTCCACGTGGTTATATAAATAACCATAACCAATTTTTAATTCATTTTATTGTCAAATGACCATTATACACTTCCATTCATCCTTCTTTTCTATTCAGTCCTTCACAAAAATATTTCAATTAAGTCCATGAATTTTTTAATTTATCTAATTTGATCACTAAATCCTAAAATTTTACAATTTAGTCACTAACCCAATGTTTGAGATATTACAGGTAGTGCGCAAGACACTTAAAGCTAACTAGCTTGGGCGCAAGGTCCGACACTCAAGGAGTAGGCTAATCGAGGGGTTGATCGGTGCAGAGATTCTGAGCAACCAACCTCGATAAATTAGAGGGGTGTGTGAGCTCCGAGATGTAGAACCCTCAGTCGCACCATGATGTATACCATAGAGTAGAGAGTGTAGTATACGAGTATATTCACTATTGCAGTTATGAGTTAGCTTGAGCATGACATGAACACTTTTAATATGGCTTAGTTGTTAGTGTGACACTGTGCTATTTAGCTCAGCGTTTAGAATTTGTTTCCTTACGCAGGTTAGTCGAGGAGCAATCCAAGGACTTTTTGACAGCAGTGATCTAAACTCAGATAGTGCAGAGTATGTCTCGAGTTATGTTTAGAGGACATGTATAATTGTAAACCCCGATTTGTATATTTTTTGTATGAATCGTAACTCATTTTAAACTATTGTCTGTATGTTTTAAATATTATTTTGGGAGCTCTTAATGTAAACTATTTTATTTAAATTGTAGTTGATTTATTTTAGCATGAGTGGTTACAAATGATCATTTTTAAATAAAGGAAAATTTAAAAAAAATGGTTAGCCAATATGGTAGTTTCGTGTGTCATTATGATCGGTTAATTATGTGTCATACTGATTTAGAGTGTTACAATTTATATATCATGCAAAGCTGTGAGACTCAACTAAAACCTAAAAATTAATTTACTAATTACTTGTTAGAGTTTTGTTTTATTACTTAATTTTTTTTCAAATTGAGTTTAACTAATAAAAGTATCAGTCAAATAAAAAGTTTTAAATTTTTAGGGTAAATTACTTATTTAGTACCTAAACAATAAGTTTTTGTATGTTTTAGTACCTAGATTTTTTAATTTTTTTAAATTATAACTAACATTTAGTTTGTATTTCATTTTAGTACCTCGTCATAAAAAAACTTAACAGCAGTTCATTTTTATGGGTAAATTACATCATTCATCACTCAACTATATTCTCACTCCTATTTTAATACTAAAGCTTAAAATTTTTCAATTTAACTACTCATCTTTTAAATTGCTCCTATTTTAATCACTCTAATTTATTTTTAATTTTAATTTTTTGTGACTTGTTTTTTTAATATATAATTAAAAATATTTTTTTTTGAAAATTAGGAATAATTTGAAAGTTAAGTAATTAAATTAAAAAATTAAATTTTAGTGACCAAAATAAGAGTGAAAAGATAGTAGAGTGATGAATGATATAATTTACCGATAAAAATATGCAACATGTAAATTATCCGTTAAGTTTCAACAGCGGGTACTAAAACGAAACAAAAATTAATTATTAAGTATGATTCTGAGAAATTCAAAGTTTAGATACTAAAATAGATTAAAATTGATAGTTTAAGTACTAAATACATAATTTACTTTTTTTAATCGAGTAGAGTTTTGTTGGATAACCAGTAAATGAAAACAGCGATGGCGATTGAATGTGCAAAGAATGATACCTTGTCTACATCTGCCGTTTAACTTCCTAGGCGGGTTATTTCCATGTTCTTCCTAAACGAACAGCAAACCCACCTAACCAAGTAACTGAGAAAACCATAAATCCTTCTCCTATAAAGTGTCGGTTTATCCATGCAATTGCCGCCTCCACCGCTCTAATTTCCCCTTCTTCATTTTTAAGTTTTTAAGAACAATTTGTTTTTCTCTTCCGAAATGGATCCGACCCCGACGTCCGCTGTCCGACCCGAAATCTGCTTTTTCGATTTGGAAACCACCATCCCTTACCGGCGTGGCCAAGGCTACGACATTCTCGAATTCGGTGCCATTTTAGTCTGCCCCAGAAGGCTCCTTGAGCTCGAGAGCTACTCCTCCCTGGTCCGACCCGATGACCTCTCTTCCGTTTCCCCTTCCTCCGTGCGCTGCAACGGCATCACTCGGAACGATGTCGCTTCAGCGCCTCCCTTCTCCGAAATCGCCGACAAAGTTCACGATCTTCTTCATGGTGCACATCTCGCATTCCAATTTCCTTTTTTTCCGTCTTTTTTTTTGTTCCTTCTCTTTTAAGTAAGGTTTTAAATGAATTCTGTAGGAAGGGTTTGGGCGGGGCATAATATAGTGAGGTTTGATTGCGTGAGAATAAGGGAGGCGTTCGAGAAGATCGGTAGGGCGGCGCCGGAGCCTAAGGGACTTATCGATTCATTGCCGTTGTTGACACAAAGGTTCGGAAGGAGAGCTGGTAATATGAAGGTATTTTTTTAATTTCACATTACAAATCTCTGCTTTCTTATACCAATATTATGAAGAAAAAAGATATGGAGACCATTGCTTAATTATTTGATATCCTAGCTTTGTGCTACTCTCTAAGAAAGACATTGTAAGCAAGGGATAATAACCAGACCGGCCAGTTAAACTGGTGATCAGAGGTCTAGTCGGTTTGATCTCTTGTTGGTAACATGTTTATGTTCTTCAATCTTGAATGCAGATGGCAACTCTTGCAAACTATTTCGAGATTGGGGTGCAGGCACACAGGCAAATGAATATAAACTCTTTTCTTCACCTTTGGATGGATCGTGGAATTTATGTATCTTGGTAACAATCTTTCTGCTATACAATTATTCAGGAGCTTGGACGATGTTTGAATGAACCTCGAAGTTGTCAAGTACTGCGCTACAGTTTTGTTCCTGGTATGGCAGTTTCCGATCGCCAAATGCAGCAGCATTTATGTTATTTCTAGTGATGCATTTAATCACCATATTCGACTCAACTTCAAATGGGTAAATTGAGCATGTTTTGTAAGATTAATTATCCAAATTTGCACCAAAATCTTATATTTATCTACAGGAATCAAGTTTCCCAGAAATACTGATGGTGAATGGAACCTGTTCGCCAATAACGACGAGAAGTAGCAGTAATACCAAGTCGTCTCCCGAGCAGCCTAGCCCGAAGATGAACAGCATTTCTTCAACTCCTGAAAATGTTCCTAATCCATCTCCAAGAAACAGAGAACACCAGCCTATAATCTCTCTTCTGACTCATCACACTGGAGAGGCAAATACAGATGTGTCTAATCTGGTTCAACCGGATCCTTTCAACATGGGTGTACTCAGAAACGAAATAAAAACCGAGGCCCTCCAATCAGATGTCATCATGGAAGAAAAAACTCTGCTAGAGTCTCAGGAGATAGATATTGCTGAAGGTAGTAGCAGTAATGCAGAGTTCTTAGAACCTAATGAAGTTTCTCCAAGCTCTATCAGTGCATCTCTCACCCCATATTACCATGGCACCCATCGAATAAGACTGTTGCATGAAAACACTGCTCTGCAACTGTTTTGTCCTTGTTTGAGAGTGCGGTTTGGAGTCAATGGAAAGTTCCTTGATCAAGGAGGCTGTCCACGTTTGAGCTTCGTAGTCGATGCTTCTCCGAGTTTATGTGAGATTCTGGATGCTTGTGACAATGCTGCAAAAACGGTCTTCGAAGATTGCGGAAGCAGTTCCGATTGGAAGCCTATCGTGGGCAGGAATTACCAGTACATCAACAATCCAACCGTGAGACTGAAGTAAGTTCTCGTAGTGTTCCGAAAATAGAATTAAACAGTTTAAGACATTCACTTGAATCTTGTAATAATTTTGTCGATTCTTTGATTCCTTTCTGGCAGCATACCCACAGTAACCAATGATGATATCGCCCGATACACTGCAGAGATTCATCAGAAGGACTGCTCCGGTACCGTGCAAAAGCTTGTGTTCAGCAAAATTGATGCTGCAGAGC